CAATGCCATACATCATCACCACCGTTCATTTGCACCTGAAGCCAGTCAAAATATGGAGCTGCTGCAAGAATAACAGAGTACCCCCTAGGGCTTGCTTTCCCTTCGGGATGCTTTGGGCCTAGTTCTCGCTAACTCAGAAACGGGGACTTGAAGGCTTCATTCAAGACTAGCGACCATCCGGCCCAGCTAAGCCTTCCAGCAGAAAAAGACCCCTACAATGGCATACACATTCTACGAAACTAGTTTCAACGATCCAACCCTCAAACTTATTTGTTTATAATTCGAGATCATATACACCAAAAATCGGAAAAAATAAACATTCTGAGATCAAGTAATGGGACAAAACATTTCGACAGTTATAAATGAAAAATCACGATTTAACGGTTATTTCAATTTCGATTTTGATGTTTTTTTACATCTACACTCCATAACCCTATATGAATACAATGAACTAATTCGATCGTCAATTTAAAATATATATTTTCTAACAAAAACCCAATCTGAACTACAATAATATGTTTTTCTAACAAAAATCCGATCTGAACTAAAATAATAAATTTAAAGCTACTTCATAAATATATATACCGTTTAATTTCTTAAGTGTTATGCATACAAAATAAAAACAAAACAAAAATAAATTGGTTTAGGCGACGAAATATTTGGATTACGTCATGCAAAGATTTTTAAAAATAATTTTTCTATTTTATTTATTTTTGTAAAGACTTTGCGCGACAAACACCTACTTGGTCGCTAAAGACTTTGTGCAACGAAGTTTAGTGTTTCGTCAAGCAAAGTCATGCAAAGATTTTAAAAAATAATTTTTTTATTTTATTTATTTTGTAAAATAACTTTGAGCGACAAAGTTTAATAACTTCGAGCAAAGTAACTTTGAGCAACGATGTTTTGTCGTCACCAAAGGTTTGTCACGCAAAGTGACTTTGTGCGACGATTTGTGTTTCGTTGCGCAAAATTTAGTCGCGTAAGACTTTGAGCAACGAATTTTGTTTGGTCGCGCAAGGGTTTTTTTTTCCTAGTGTTTCCAAGCAATGGTGCATAATGGTGCCTTGTTGGATATTAGCTTCCCCAAACAAGATAAGATCATCTGCAAAAAAGAGGTGTGAGATAGCAGCTCCACCTCTAGCCATTTTAATTGGTGTAGGGGTCTTTTTATTCCAGTAGCCTGACGAATGGGCTTGGGCTGCCGTAAAGAGAAACTAATAAAGCGCCCCTTGTATCTGAGTTCAAGAACCAGGCTCCCATAAGGTTTTGAAAAGTTTCGTGAGAACCTTAGAAAACACTCTGGGTATCTTTCACTAGTAGGCCAACAGTACGTGGTAAGTTATGAATACAACTTGCTTGAGGAGCTTGTGGCATGGGAGCTAAGCCTTCACAAGTTTAGCAATTTAACAGAGAGAGAGAGAGAGAGAGAGAGAGAGAGAGAGAGAGAGAGAGAGAGAGAGAAAGAGAGAGAGACAAAAGCATGAATTTCTTACAGAGGGTAAAGGCTCAGAACAGGGGGAGAGGAAAATTAGGAGGATTTCTATCTCAGGAAGAGAGAAAAAATGGAAGTAGAAGATGGGGTGTCTTGAGTAAATTTCCAATCGCTTGACAAAGCTTGGTTGCGCTCTGGATGATGGTCTTGCTGGGTAGAGAAAGCTCCCTTTTATAGGCACTTAGAACCCTAATTCTATCGATCCTCCATTCCCACTTTTCCTTTGCTTCTTTCCATTCACTCCTTTTTGGTGAAATTTCTTCAACCAGAGCACATGAGTCATAGGCTCTTTGGAGTTCCAAGGTTTTCTATGCGGCTGGACCTCCCCATGGGGGGTGAGGCGCCACCTGCTTTCTTCCTTGGTTTTCAAATTAGAGCTCGTAGAGGAAAAAGAGAATGGATAGAGTCGTTTGTCCAATGGGTATTCCTCCTACACATATGGATTTCCTTTGGTTCCTGCAATGGCTTCTCATTGAGGGTTATAGAGCTTTGACAAGGGTGGAATACGATGCTAGATTATTTAACAAGGTGTTGGGCTAGGCTTTGTTTACAGTATCAGGTTATTGGTACTCTCTTTCAAGTGGCCTGCGTGTTTTCGTCAAGCTGCTGGAAGTAACCTATTTGCTTTATTTTGGCCGTTTTAACTAACGTGAGATTGTCTAAGTGTTGCAGCAGACTATTAGATGTTCTCCTAAGGCATTGGATCACTTTTTCCCTCTCTCATGCTAACCCATGTGTTTGGGCCCGAGGAATGGGCTTGAGTTTTAGTGCTCCCAAGTGGCCTAAAACTTTCATTCCTTGAACCCTCAATGGGCCCTGTGAGTGCTCGTAACCATCCATACCACAACCCACTCAGCAAGCCCCGGGCATTTGCGTGGCTTGGGCCCACTTAAGCTTGTAGCGTGGCTAGGTGCAAAATAATGGTTTTCCGCTTGGCATGGCATGTCGATTGGCGTGCTTATGCTTGAAGGCTATGACGCTTGATGGGATAATTAGCATGGGTTCATAGAGCCAGTGCATTTTATAGGCTCGTTTCAACTCTCAGCATGACGGATAACATATTTATTTAGCATGACACATGGATCATAACTCGTGCGAGTGTGTATGACGAATTTTCGCATGCCCACACCAGGTTTCTTCTCAATAAGGTATCGCACTGGGCCGAGAATTTATTCGGGCCCAACCCTGGATTTTTTGGGCCTCAACAATTGGTTTCCATTTCTTAGCAATGATGGCACCATTAATGATATGTGACAACTTTTCCATGTTGTTTGTGCCTAATAAATCACGGCCATGAACGGACCAAAGGAGCCCCTTTTCTCGGCCCTAGCACTTGCTCGTGAAACTAAAACGCGGCGTTTTCGCCAAGATGTTTTGCCTTCCTGGAAACAAAAGAAAAATTGCTAAGGCATGACCATCTCGGCCTCGATTATAGGCCGAGGCCGAGGCCGAACAAAATCACGGCCAAGGTATTAAAGTCAAATCATCACGTGACAGCAGGGTCCCATGCTTCATTTAATGAAGTAATGCCTCTGTTTATTGCAGCAAACCCACTGGCCACGAATAAGCATTTAATGCGCGAGGGACGGTGGGAAGTGACTGAAGTCAGGATTTGGTGATAGGAATCAGAGTGATTAGACGCAAACATTCTCACAAGGATTCTTACAGCTTGAGAGATTAGGTCACCAGCTCTCAGAGCAATAAATGCGTCTCCACGGCCAGAAGCGCAGAACCCAAGATCAGGGCGGCGGCCCAGATTCACCAGGATTCATGGGGTCACACCACCATACTTCACGATCCCAAATGTCGATTGGACTACCCACTTGCTCTGATCAGGCTCCACCATGCAGGTTTTCAGCCTCGATTACTCATCCAGGAGCTCTTCCTATAAATGCAAGGCTCAAACTACATTCAAAGGGTTCAAACACCAAACCAAAGCGTCCCACGGAGCAACTTATATTTTCCTATAATGCACTTTCAATATCTTTATTTGCTTTCCTAGGAGTAGTGTTAGACTGTAAGGAAAATCCATTCATCAATATATCATACGACCCTTGATTTTCAAGGCGCCGAAGCATCATCCTTGTTACTCTCTTACTCACCCCATATATCATACGACCGTCGCTCACTGAGCAGCGCGCCGGAGCACCGCCCAAAACCCACCACCAACACCACCACTAAACTGCCTTGTAGCTCAGGCCGTGAACCTAACAGCCGAGATCAGTTCCTCTCTTGGCTACAATCGTTTGATTAGAAGACGAGTTGAAACAGGCGCACCACTTGACCATTCTATCCACTTCAACATCTCGACGCACGGTAGACCGTGCTCGCACGCTCGCGCACAACCGTACCGCATCCAAATGCAGGAAGCCACGTGTTAACGCACATCCCCTCGGCCCGGAGCACCAGGCCGTGAGATTTGCGCAGCCAACACTTTTGGCATGCCCGGTGGGATTCTTGTCAAAAACTTATGGTGGAAACTAGGGCATAGGCAAAGCTCAAAAACAAAACAGTCGAAATGACTTCTGAGACTCCTGAGTCCACCTCACCAATCACTGTCACCGAGACTGAACATGCGGTCAGGATCTCGCCCAGCGTTCCAGTAACGACGGATCGCATGGCCGAGTCCATACAGGAACAAGTAGTGGTGGAGGATCTGATGTCGAAGCAGGCCTACAGGATAGAAACATCCTTTATGGCCGCAATGGACATGTTCTCCTCAGAGCTACGAACGGCTTTTCAGGAGAGGATGCCGGCAACCTCGCCCGCAACACCTCCTAGAGCCGGACAGAGAAGCCAAGAGCGCGAGAGGATTGAGCCTTACGGCGAAAGCAGCAGCCTCGGTGCCTCTGGCCGCACCCAAGCGTCAGGTTACGGCCAGCATTCTCTGCCGCCGACGAATAGCTGGGGGCAGGCCCAGCCCACATGGGTGCATCCAGGGCCAACCTACTCGGATGAAACAGCGCATGGCCCACTCCACGCTCTGGCCGTATCGCTAGGGCAAAGCAGCCTCGCGCACTCCGCGATTCAGCCACTCGGCCCAGTTCATACTGTTGCCGTCCAGACCCATCTTGGCCCAAGCAACGCGATTGCTGCTTCATCACAGCAGTACGATCAGAGAAATCCGACCGTTTCGCCACCATTGCAGGCATCGTTGTTTCCGCTAGGCTCTCAACTTCATTACGGTTCGGCCATTTTGACGGCAACACACACGCACCTTGGCCAAACCCATGGCGCTCATTTGGCGCCAACCAGCCCGGTTGTACCTGCCGAGCCCCCTGTTCAAGTGGCCCAGCAGGTAAGGCCGCAGAACGATGCGCAACAGGCCCCGCGGCCGTGCGCGGCCCAGCCAGAAGCGCCACCTCAAGGGCTACGATTCGAAGACGTCCGACGAATGATTGAGGATGGCCTAGCCTAGAGGCGGCCGGACGCGCCAAGATATAGAAGGCCGTACCCACCAAAAATCGACCGAACCCCTCTTCCCCGGAACGATCGATTGCCAGAATTCATGCTATTCTCCGAGGATGGGCAGACCTCCTCCATTGAACACATAGGCCGTTGCACGGCCCAATGTGGAGAGGCCGATTTGGACGCCCAAAAGCTCCGTTTATTTGTTCACTCTCTGACCGGTGCGGCGTTCTCGTGGTTCATAAACCTTCCACCGAATTCAGTAAGGGATTGGTCTGATATGGAAAGGATATTCCAAGAACATTTCTATCAGACCAATCGAGAAATAACGGTCGCCGAGCTGGCAAGGATGAACCAGGCGCCAGATGAATCACCTCGCGACTACCTACAGCGGTTCAAAACATGTGGGAACTGGTGCCGCACGAACCTACCAGAGAGGGAATTTGTCAAGATGGCCGAAGAAGGATTGGAATTTGAATACCGGAAGAAATTCCAAGGGATCGAATTCCGGGACATGCATGACTTGATCAACAAGGTGGACAGATACGCATCCTTGTTGAAAGAAGAAATGCAGAAGAAAACGGCTTCTAAAGGGACGTACTACAGGAATCCCATTGTCAGCTACGCCGAAGCAGACGGCTTCGCGGAGGCCGAGAGCGACGAAGTAGAGGTGAGTTTGGCCGAAGTCAGCATAGAAAAACCGTTCGTCTGCAAAGGACTTATCAAGGCCAATAATAGCCGCACAAAAATCCCCGACGCCAAGTTTGCAACTCGGGAAACGAAGGCCTACACTTTCGACCTGACAAGGGCCGAGGCTATCTTCGACCTGTTATTGGAAGAGAAAAAGGTCAAATTATCTTTCGGCCATAAAATTCGGAAACCCGACGAGCTTAAAGGAAAGACGTTTTGCAAATACCATAGTTCTTGGTCTCACAACACCAACAACTGTGTTGTCCTGCGGCCATGCAGGTTGACTCCAAGCCATTCCCTCCACCTATTGTCAACATGTTCAACGCCCAACTCCGGGCCGAATGTAGGGAAGTTCGTCGACTAGCGAGGGGAAAAGAACCATTGGCCGAATCATAGCCGGTGCTTTGCGAGCAGTGCCAATGTAAAGTCGATCAGCCCAGGCTACATGAGAACAAGAGGAAGGCCACCGAGCCATCTCAACCAGCCATGAAGGAATTTAGCGGCCAGTACGATCGTCGGCCTGCCAGTAGAGCTGTTTTCGACCGACTGGGGGCACAAACTCCCAGTACCTCGATGGGACCCAAGGATGAGGCCGCCCCTAGGCCAGTAAAAACTTTCAAACCGCCGGTCATACAGGATGTCCGTTGGTACCATGCGCGACCTGGGGGCAGAGCCGAACCGTTGACAAAAACCCAGCTGAGAAGGATGCAGAGGCAAGTCCAGCAGGCCAAAATACAGGCGACCAGGGCCGAGGGTTCTAAGCGCCAAAGGAAAATGGCGACTGCAGACGGGATACCATCGGCACCAATTGTCCCCTCTACAGCCAAGTCGACCAGCATCAAGCCTCCAAGGACGTGGTGCCCTAGGCAGGATAAGAGTCCTCGTAGAACAACGGCCGCCTCGGCCCAGTCAAAGGCCGCAGCCCCGGGGAAAATAGATGTGGGTATCATCGACGTCTACTGTGGAAGGGATCCCCCTTTCTCGGCCAACGGTTTGTCTTTTCTCGCGGAATTCCGTAAAGACCATTTGGCCACAGACGTATACAGCATGACCCCTGAGAACCGTGAAATCGTCGAGTTGGCCCTCAAAAACACAAAGGCAGAGGGGCTCCTCATTACCAACGGATCTGACTCGGCCATCAAGGTCGTATACCAGGCAAACAGGGAAGCCAGAGCGAGAGGGATGCCAGGTTATCAGCCCGACCTCAGAGGATCGGAGGCTAAGGTCCCCTTCAACAAGGGCGATTTAGAATATCTCCGCCAATATTTCACTGTGACCCCGGCGGACACTGTCTTTGGTCTAACGACCGAGGAAAAGGCTCGGTTAAGTTGTTTAGACGAGTACTTAACGGCCAGGGACACATTGGCGAAGGCTAGACGGGCCCTCGAGAAGGAGGTCGAGGCCTCGGACCCCCCTGAGATCAAAGCATCCACAGCCGATATCCCGAGGACCGCAAGGCCTATGATTGATGGCTTCAGTGATCCTTTCTTTGGGCATGAGGCCGAAGACGACCCCACTTTAGGAATCTCCGATGATGAATACGAGGGGATCCTCGGGATGGTCGAAGAAAAGGTCTTCGCCAAAAACGGCTGCGAGGCCGAAGAGGAAGATGGTAGGGGAAACCCGTAGGAGCCGAAGGAGGTCGGCATGAATATGGTCTTGGTACTACCGTCAGAGTTTTCAACCCCAGGAGGGCAAACCAATGGCTTGGATAATGACGTGGCTGAGGAGCAACTTGATCAAAGGCCAAAGACGAAGGAAGAGTTGTTGGCCGTAGCCTTCAACGAGGTGATACCCAGAGACGAGCCGAACAAATACCGACACCTCAAACCATTATACATCTCGGCTCATGTAGAGGGTGTGCCCGTGTCCAAGGTTTTCGTTGACTGCAGGGCGACGGTCAACATCCTTCCTTATTCCTTGATGAGGAAGCTGGACAAGTCAAAGGAGGACCTCATCCCCAGCGATGTGGTCATGAGCAGCTTCGTCGGTGATAAGTCTAAAACCATCGGCGTGTTGCCATTAAAGATTACCGTGGCCGACCAGACAAGAGTCGCGGCCTTCTATGTGGTCGAGTCCAGCGTCGACTACAATATATTGCTCGGCCGTGATTGGATCCACCAATCTGGGTGTATATTGTCTTCCCTCTTCCAACTGTTATTCTTTTGGGACGGCCAGAAGGTGTCTATACACCCGGCCGACGAAAAGCCTTTCGAAGCCAACGCCGTACAAGCTCGAATTTACGACGACGACGTTGGATGGGTTGTCCTCACCGGCCACGATTCAAGCGGCCGACCAACCAGAACGACGGCCCAGAAAGTACTGGAGTTAGGCGCCGAGAATGTCCGACAGGATTCGGCGCGCGAA